CTAGGTTGGAGGCCATTGCTACTAGGTTAGAGGCCATTGCTACTAGGTTGGAGGCCATTGCTACTAGGTTGGAGGCCATTGCTACTAGGTTGCAGGCTGCTTGACATGTTGTTTTGCCTTTCAAATTCGTCTCTCAGGTCCAAGCCCCCCCTCACAAAGCACCACTCGGACATTTTCATCCTCCCAGAGTCCCATCTCTTCAAGCCCGCCACCGCTCCGGTTTTTCAATCGGTTCCGTGCCTCATCCGAGGCATCCGGCTCTTCGAAGTTGAAATTCACCTCCTCGGCATCCACCTGTGGAAACGGTCGTATCTAGGTCGCCGGCTACGCCCAGATGTGTTTCATAGAAGAAATCGACTCCACCTGCTGTTGTCGATCGTGAACGTTAGCTGACTTTTGGGGTTAGAACCGGTTATAGCGCTGTCCATCTTGGACATCTCAAGCAGGCGAAAATGGTGAATCATGGCGCCTCTATGACTTCTGCACGAGGCCGCTTCTGCCCGGGCACGGGGCGCAGCTCCACCTGTTTCACCGATTCCGGCCGATGAATGGGGCAGCTTCTGTCGGTTCGCTATTGGTGTTGTTCGTTTTCTCTGACTTCCTTGTGTTTCTCAGTTGTTTCCATTTGGTTGTCTCAGTTTCTCCCAAACAGCCCAGGAAACTCATGAGAACTCACCTGGAAGTCATTGCTCTCAAGGCTGCGGAAGGCATCGAGGTCTAAGCCTTGATAAAATCGTTGGTGACAGTTTCTTATTTGCCAAATCCATATTCAATCCAACAGTCGAAACTCTAAGACATACACCCTCAGCCATCAGTGTGCATCCAGTATAAGTTGATGCAGCTCCGAATGTTTCAAGTTGATGTCAACTATGGACCATAGTTTGCCATAGTTACTATGGTAAGTTTCAGATCTTGCTTTCCAGATGCAAAGTTGAACATTCCTTTGCCCATGTTTTCTTTGAGCCAGCTCTGCGTTTCGACTGTTCACCACTGTCATTGGCACCTTCACCCATGTTCAGAAGATATATATATATGGCACCCCCCAAAAAACATGATATGTTCACCTCACTTTTGCTGGTATTTGCAATATTTAGTGTCTATTTTTGGAGGCGTTTTGGACCTTGGTTTTTTGGAGTACCTATATATATATGTCAAAGTAGCGGAGGCCCGGCCATCACGCGCGGTCCTTTTTCCACTCTTCCTTGAGTTAAGTTCCGCTGCGATTGATACCTCATGACAAACGAAGTGGAGTCGGCGTCTGGAGATTTCACACTCCTCTTCTTCTCCCCATAACCACTCACTCAAAAGCAACTCATCCGAATTTCCTCTGGACGCTGCTTCCCGGATAGGTCACAGTCATCTCTGACGCTGGGCCCTTGTAATGAACGACTTTCAAGTAGTTGCGCAAGTCGTCCACTTTTGGCGATTTGCCTTGACCCGCAGTCAGCACCCAATCGAGGTAATTCACCAGCATGGTATTGCCCTTCTTGGCCTCATTCACCAAACCTGCGTAGGTGTATTTCAATGAAGCCACCTTAGGTAGATCACACAGGGTCCGGCTCCGCATCTCCACACGGAGTCAACGCCCTCCGGAAAACTCACAGAGCTCTCTCCAGCTGTCTTAGATCCACTCTTGGGCGCAATGGGCTTCTGGAAAACCTCACACTCTTTGCTCACACCTAACTCCTGAGTCACTGCAAGAAGCTCAAAACCGTCTAACTCATCTGAGAGTCGACGTTTGCAACTGTCACTCATCGAACCACGCCCGTCAAAGGCGTTCGACGGGGCTGCCGCATCTTGGGCCTGATGGATGGGGCTCACCACTTCCAATGCCTCAGAAGTGATGCCGTGAACGGATGGTGCATTCGAAGGCATTTTGTCACACAGATCGAAAGTCACGAAAGCTGTCAAATCGGCTTGAATGCGAAGAAAGCTGCAGAAAATCTATTTAATTCATTTAAACACGTGTGCATTTCCCCTATTCTCGAATCTTTCTGCGTGAAATTGGTCACGCTGCCAACGATCACACACAACGAAAACCTCCAGCCTCAAACACAAAAAATGTGACCACAGTGTCATGACTTGAAAGCATTCGCCCCACTCCCACGAAGCAAGTTCCACACAACTTGCACTAACAAAAAAATCAAAAGGTTCACAAATCGGAATCTTGCCCCTTGACCTCGTCTCCCCACGAGAGTCCTGATGACCGCCTAGTCTTAGCCATCTGTTCTGATTTCTGCATCTGCTGAGCCTTCTGTCTTCTCTGGTCTCGCTCGACTCGTTGCTGTTTCTTTTGCTCAAGAACCACAGCCTCTGGGTTCAGCTGATACTATCCCACATGAAGAGCGGCGCGAATCAAATCTGAGGGATCGACGTGGTCCTTTGTTAAACAGTCGGCTAGCATGAGATGTGTCGGAACGCAGAATGGCTAGATCTATCGCAACCCTCCTGTCTTCACAGGTTGACACTGATGACATGGAGTGAAGATGATCATACAGGCTTTTACAGTCTGTCACGCCGATGATAGGGATCTTGCTGATCTGGTCTATCAACCTTTGTCCCATCACTTTGTATTGCAAAGCAGGGGTGTCTTTCACTTGTTCACTAGACCTAAGGTCGAAACCTCCGCGCTTGGCTTCAGCTACTAAGAGAGCCGTCCACTCAGCAACTGCCGACGCGGTCGCATATGCTTGTGATTCTGCACCTAAAGTCGATGCCACAACCCTGGGAAGCTTGTACGATTTCCAACAAAGAGGAGACCACATGCTTGGCTGGCTTTGTTCCAGCTGCTGGTGGGCAAAGGCTAGAATGTATCCAGCCTGTGTTTTGTGTTCTTTTGCATTCCCGAATGCGGCGTCGGAATGAAAACAGATACACAACTGCTCCCAAGGAATACTCTTAATTGTCACTTCGACATGACTGTACTGCTTGGCTCGATGAACCAACTGGTTTGCATAAACCAAGTCTTTGATTTTTGGTTGAGGAAACCACTGTTGCGAGAAGGAAGTCAGTCTGAGAAGCCAAATCTCGTCGGCTTTGGCTGGACAACCAATTCGCTGCCCCGTTGATCGCTCTCAACGCCGAAATCTCTCGTTCATCTACCAGTGCTTCTTTGTTCCTTTGTCTTTCCTTACTCATGTTGATTGGTCTCATATGTCTGGCATATTCTGTCTGCTTGTAGGTGATTTCATGGGTCTCTGCGCATTGCTGATACTGGGCTCCGCAAAACTCGCCTGATCGAATTCTCCTCTTGCGGTAGGGGAATCTCGCTTTCAGAGCTTGGATGGCTTTCTCATATTGTTCTCCGGAACCGCCAGCGATTGTATCATCCACGTGTGCACCCAAAACACCGCACAGATTCTTCTCTGCATCCCGAAGGGAGTAAAGGCAACTGTCAAACTGACTTCTCCGGAAACCCACCTGTCGTGTATACTCGTCAAAGGTGTTGTACCACTTGAAGGGGCCATAGACATTCCCGATCACCTCAATTACATCATCTGGATGTAAACCAGGTACTCCACCAGGTGGCTGCTTTGCATATAAGGGACTGTACTTGGCTTGTAGGGGACCTGCTTCTAGGAAAGCTCCCTTCACGTCTCCTAACTGCAACACCCATTTCTTGCTAGCCAAAATCTGTAATATGACCGCTCTAGAAAGTGGATGTCGTGTGGGACTATGGCACACTCCAGAATTGACCTTTTCCCCAAAATCAGGATCCAGATGGCCCAAAAGACACCAGCGACTCTTGATCCGGGTACCCTCTTCGTCGGTCTTCTGAATGACAACAAATCTGCTTCCAACAAACCGATGGGGAAATGTTTGTCTAATGTCTTCTGCTTGCTTTCCTCGCCACACACGTGTGGCTTGTTTGCCATGTACTGTTTCCCATTCTACCGCTTTGGATGCATCGATGTCTTTCTGCAGTTCTGGCGGATTGCCATAGGCTGGGATCTCCTTGGATGCTCTCTTCTGAATAAACGCTGCTGTCAGAGCCTCGACAAAAGTTGCACCCTTGTTCTCTTCCAGGTGTTCTGCACATAAGGCTTCAGTCAGGAGTAGTTCATCTTCAGGTGCATCTGTCGGAGTCTCCAGACGTGGCCGAGCGGATTGTCGCTCATCAGCTGCATCAGAGCTCGCTTCCCTTTTACTGCTTTCACCTCGAGGACTAGTAGTTTGCATAACACTCTGCATAACACCAGGTTGAGACATCAAATCATGTAAGGCTTCTGAAAAATCTTCCAACGCCATATTGGGTGGTCTTCTCAAATATTCTGGCGGAGATTTGTAACTGTGTCGCACTCGACGGAAAGGACCATAATCCTCAGTTCGGGTTCGAACCACAGGGTGTCCTTCCACGTCTGCAGGTAGAGAATGCCGGAGCTCTGTTGCCGAAATGGTCTCGGCCGAGGCTTCTGCTCGACGCTGCTCTGCCACTACCTCCGCCGCCGAGCGAGCTCGCGCATCTACTTGCGCTTGGCGCACACTGTCTTCTACCTGGGGAGGGGGTCCCTCAGCTACTGCATCCACAAACTGACCCTTAGGGAGTTGACCCCTTTCCAGCATAGTACGAATCCCCAAAAGTTCTGCTTCGTCAAATTCAGCAACTGCACGTTCTTCTGAGGTGGCATGCCTTAACTGTTCCGGGGAACACCGAATGACACGGCCTTCTCCCCACTGGAGGTCTCTCCTCCTCGAAGCTCCTCTCTTCCTCCTCACTGTAGTGCTCCGGCTCCTCACTCTCCTCCCGTCTCCCGGCCTCCACGGATTCAGGAGATGGGCTGTATCCTCCGGGTCGCTCACGGCCACTTGCCTCAGGACTTGGGTCCCGTGCACTCGAAGGTCTGGGCAATGACTTTGGTGCCAAATCTCCCGGAGTTGAGCTCTTCTCTTCTCTTCGGACTGGGGACGAATCGACGGGCTTGCTCTTCTTTTCCTTTCTCGACTCCTTCCTTCTCTTGTGCTTCTTCTTCTCTTCTCGGACTGAGCGGCTCCTCTCACTTCTTTCCTCTCTTGACTCCTTCTCCTCCTCCTCGGAAGCGGGCTCCTTTGTGACCTTCTCGGCGTGGAGGTCGTCCTTCTTCAGCCGCTTTGCCGGCCTAGGCAGTGGTGGCAACACCACCTTGGACTCCACAGGAGCCGCCCCAGCTCCCTCGCTGGCAGCTGCCTGCTGCCCGAGCCCTCCCTCCTTTACAGGAGATTCTCCCACTCCCGACGCCCCAGGAGCGGGTGCCTCACCGCTGGCTTGAGCTCTCAGACCGTGCGAAGCCTCGAGAAGTTCGAGGTAACACCGATCCAAGACCTTTGCACCTTGTGCTCGTAGCTCTGGGCTAGTGCCTGTATGGTAGAGGACCTGGAAGATTTTCTCGAAGGACCTGCAACAGCCACAGCCGCACTTCCCTGGATTGTGCTCCAGGTTAGTCACCGCTCCCTCCACAGGAGCGATGGTCATCCGCTGAGAGCCAGAACACTGCATTTGAAAGAAGACGTTTCGTTCGTTTTTACCTACGATGCGAGAGACCATATATATAGAGAGAGAGATAGGAAATGTGTCCTTTGGGCAAAAGGATATAAAGGGATAACTTAAAGAATCAGGTACTTTAATAGACATGGCATGATGCTGAATGATGCAACATGCAACCGCTGACAAAAGTGGCACACAATTTTGCGCCACTGCTGTCCCATCGAACTTGTAAAAGTTAAAGCATTTCTGTCCCTGCAGGCGCTCGTTGGCACTCCTGCTTGGGGGAAGAAGCCGCCGAATTAGCGGCATTGCCCTCATCTCACTCTGCAAGGAATGACAGGAGCGAACGCCTCGACACTTGGGAGGTTCTAATGCCCTTCAATCGAAGCCTGTTATATTACCTCATTCGCTACTAGTAAGAAGGGCCATGCTACTAGTGGCTAGAAGCTACTAGTAGTACTGCCCTTGTTACTAGTCCAAGTAGCTTCTTAAACGTAAGCACGGGTCGCCCGAGTTGAAGCGGTTCACGCCTGCAAGCTCAGTGTGCCCCCTTCTCTTCCTGCTCTGGATTCCAGTAACTCTGCCACCTGAAGCAAAAATAGTAGGAAAATAAGAGATGAAAGCAGGAAGATAAGGTCAAAAGGGGTCCTCTACCCGACCCTTAGCTTCCTTTTAGAATCTCTTTTCCTGTTCTTCTAATTCCAAAGAACTGTTCCAAGTCCCTGGTCCGGCTCCGGCGCTCGGCGGTGCCTGTTTTCCATGGTGCCAGCAATCCCAAAGGTGACGCCTTCCAGCTTGGGCCTGGTTCGAGACGAACGGAGCAAGGACGCTACTAGGGGCTCCTGGCCTTACTACTAGGAGCACGGTTCGCTACTAGTAACAAAGGGCATCGCTACTAGGAGCAAGGACGCTACTAGGGGCGTACTTAAACATTCAGAAAGCCTGGACCCCAGGGTTGGCCTTCCTTTTTAGCCTCGGCCCTGCCTCCTTAATTAAGTAGACGCCTACTTAATTTAAGTAGCTGGACGACCAGCTAGCTTCTAGTAACTGGACACTGGATAGCTCACGCTAATGATGTGGTTCCTAGATATTTAGGTGAACTTGACTTTTTGCACTTGTTCTTCAAATTGCCATGCATTGCTATGCATTGCCATGCATTGCTATGCATTGCTATGCATTGCTATGCATCCGTCCAAAGGAGAGCTCTCTGGGCAGCCAACACAAAGCAGCACATCTGGCACGAGGCAAAATGAGAGTCATGCAATAAGTTAGACAAAAGAGCGGAAATGAAGAAGTCACAAAGCTCAGCATGAAAGTAGCTCCCACCGCTGCCATGAGACAGGAGAAGACGATGGCCACTGAAGCGAAGTAAACTGGCTTTAGGCCAACCTGGGCATCAGGAATGGCTTGCCAGCTGGAAGGTAGTCGGTCATCAATGTGGTCCTACGTGGAAGCGTTGCAACTCACCACTCTACAACCCCAGCTTACTGCTCCGACATACCGCACTCCTAAGAGATGCTTAGGGCAGAGCGCCGGCATCAATCTTTGCGGCCCTGCAATAGAAACATGGCTGTGGATCAAAAGGAACAGAATGGACTAAGAGTCGAAGGTCAACCTACCAGGGTCAACCGGGCTCTGGGTTTGATCCACAGTCACATGGCATGGAGCAAACGACTTCCACGTTGGACCTGTTCTGATCATTCAGCGATATACCCTGGATTGTTTTGTGTCCGTTTCAAAATGGACACAATAATAGCTCAATATGTACTATATAGATATTGCAGCTTCCTTGGGCCCAAAGAGTCAAATTCGGACAGCAGCTTGCCCAGAACCCTGTCTGCCAAAATAGTCGCCTATAGTTTTGGAAAGAGATTCCCACAGACCGAATCAGCATCATTCACCGAAATCCGGGTTCTGCTTTCGGCTGCGGTTTTTGCTTTCCACTACCTCTGAAAGCTATGAATGAGCCTCTCTTCGCTAGCTGTGGCATTCTCATCTGAACCTCAAGATACAAGAGCGATCGCCACGCGAGCACGTTCACTTCGAAAGTTTGGTACTGGACCAGGAGCTTCGAGCAACTTTGCAGCAGGGCTCTGTCTG